CCAGGCGTTTCCCCAAAGCGATGGCAATGTATACTGAAGACGAAGCGAACTCCTATTTGAAGTATCTTAATGACTCTGAAACCCCCAATGCTTATTTGCTCGAAAATAATGAAGTGGGGCTGTTTTCAGTGGAGCCCATATTTACGGAAATGGCGGCATCTGATTGGCCTCATGATGGGTTCCCGCTTCTATTGACCAATTCTTTGATTGCAGAAGGTAGTTTGGAAGAGTGCCAAAGTAATAACAACTTAGTTCACCCACCTAGTGATGCTGAAGACCTACCTGAAAATATTGCTCTTCAAAATATTGACCACTGTCTAGAACCAACTGATGATGATCTTACCACAATTCATCTAACAGAAGAAGGGTCTGAAATTAGTTTGGAGCATATTGGCAATGCAGTTTCGGTTCAGGAGGTTCCTTTCATTCAATTACATAGCAGTAATGAAGATATGATGGAAACATGTCTGCAATTTGATGGAAATGAACTGGAGAAAGATGATTTGGAGGCTTTCAAGCGCGAAGAACCCGATAGAGTTGTAAAATCGCTATCAGATGAAAGTGTGTTAGTGACAAATAAACGGAAACATGCAGATGTAGCCAAAAGAATTGAACTACTAAATTCCGATGGAACTCCCATTCCTATTGACGATTCAGTGTTGGCTAGTTTGAAGTTACGTGGCGCTCAGAAAAGATCACCACCTATTCAGGAAAAGCCTAAATTGCAGCCAATCAGCGACTTATTCTCTACTGTAATTGCCAATAAATGTAAAGTCTGTTCATTTTTGTGCGAGGATTTGCAGCAGATTAATGAACACATCAGTACTAAACATTTAGAATATGTAAGTTTTTTGTTTTGCTTTTTATCAAGTACTATCGTTTTCCGTAATTTGCAGATTTTTAGCAAGGAAGCACCATCGAATATGTCTGCATTGGCAATCAATCCGAAACCTGTGGAAAATAGAGAATTCACCATCTATGTGTGCAGTGAGTGCCGTGCAGTTTGCACTACTAAGAATGATTTGAAAAATCATATGATCGGGGTAAAGATGTTAAAGCATGCTTTTAATTAGTCGCTTTTTTTCACGCGAAACCGGCCCATGATGATTGATTATCATTTTAATGTAAAATCTGAAAACAATTTGACTGAAAACCCAAGAACTTTGAACATTTTCAAACCCAGCAGCGTTGGTAAACATTACATTTCTGTGTAAACTGCTTGAACAGCAAAACCAAAAAATTCAATAAACAAAAGCTCACATTCGGTTATCTTTCTTAATTAATTAACCGATTTATTTCACACATCATGTTCCTTATAAGTGTAAAAACATGTCTGTTTAATTGGATTCTCTGTGCCACAAATTCGCTAGTCACAGCACTTGTTTAATATTTACAGTTTTACAATTCCAGATGCACGGTTTAGTAACGCAGCCCCTGCCCGATTCGAATGGGTACCAAGAAACGTTAGCCGAACCAGTAAAGAAAATGTCCGCATATTCAGATGATGTAAACCATATACTTGTTAGAAAGCAAGAGAAAATGCTACAAAGAGTGAAGTAAATGTCTTTATTTTCCAGTTGAAATTATTGGGAGTAAGTGTAGATGTGTTTTGCAACTTTAGGTGTACCGTTAAAGGATGCATAGCAGCATTTCCGAGTGAAGAACTTAGACGAAGGCACGAAAGTCTTCACATTGGCAACACCAAAAGTATGTTTAAATGTTCAGACTGTGATAAGCAATTTATGTCGTGGGTCATTCTCAGAGGGCATATGCACAAGGAACATGGCATCGATTTTGGAATGATTGTCTGCCCCATGTGCAGCATGTTCAAAACTTATAGAACTGGTATTTCCTCTCCATGCTTTGTCCGTTAATTTTACTGATATAACGATTTTATTAGTGATGATGTTCAAGCACATGATGATTCATTCGGATGTCAAGCCGTTTTTGTGCAGCGATTGTGGCAAATCGTTTCGACAACTTTCGCAACTAAAAAATCATGAAGCTTCCCATAAAATGCCTGATGATGTAAGACGAAAATTGATATTAAACGCCTGTTTTTTACAATGCTCAAGGTGTTTTAGATGCCCACGTGGTCCAGAGTGAAAAAGTGTGATAAATGCAATCAATTTTTTGCGAATTCCAAAAGTCTTAAATGCCACATCAAGACAGTGCACGAGAAAATCAAGCCCTTCATTTGCAATATATGTGGACACAAAAGCTCACGGAAAGCTATGCTAGAGGTAAGTGCTGTATTTTCAGCATTCATCTGGCTTTTGTCAGTTATACTGTAGGTGGGAACGGCATAAAACTTGTCTCGTGTTACAATTAACAACACCAACGAAATTAATAAATATATTATGTCCGAAATACAACAATATTCTAATCTGAAATATGTTTATAAGTATTACAAATAAAATTTTCCTTCCAGTTGCATATGAGGCAGCACACCGCCTCAAAGCCGTTTAAATGCGACTACTGCAACTACCGAACAGGAGACCACAATTGTTTGAGAAAACATGTAATGAAACATGTTGGGGTAGAAACAAGTAAACATTTACAAAAAAAAACATTGTATATATTTGTAATTTGCAGGCGGTGGGATATCAGTGCCCTTACTGCACATATACTTGCATACAGGCCGGTTCACTGAAAGGCCACTTCCGAGCCAAACATAAAAATAAACCAGGCGTTTATTTCTGTAAATATTGCGCTTATAACACAATCAATGATTCATCCCTGAATGCGCATGAGATCAGTCACCATTTATCATCAAAAGGTACGTAACACCCAAATAACTGTCCTTGATAAAGTTAGTTATTAAATTGAACACGCTATAAAAACATAAGACCCTGCAAATGTGTTTTAAATACCAGTTAAGCAAAAAAAGAACTTTCTTGGCATAGTTACATGAGCAATTAGTGTAAAACTTGATCAACAATTTTGTTGGTAAAATGTGGGTACTTCCACAAGATTCACCTTTTGATTATTATTATTTATTTCAGGTACTTTAAATAGTGATAGCAACCTAGAGGCTAGGGATAGTTTAATAAATACCGATCTACAGGTATAACTCGCAATTTATTTAAAATTATAATTTTGTGTACTGTATTTCAATTTCAGACTGATGAAGAAACTCAAAGTTGTTTTTTGAATACCGAATCCCAACTTGAGGAAGCAATAGATAATGGCGGCATAACAATTCCTGCAGATTTGGAATTGCCTTAATTGTAACTTTAAATATTAGGTAAATTAGAATAATTAAATATAATTTATTTCTTCTTAAAAAGGGATATTTCTGTGGCCTGGTTAGACCATAATGTAACGCTGCAAATAGCCGCGCTGTATTTTCCCACCGTACTCTATAATTCATGTACGACACGAAATAAATAATGTTTGCAGGGATTGAATGAAATACCTGCACATTTCGCCAAATTGAAAAATTGGTAATTTAATATAAACATAGAAACTTGATTTTTTTTATGCAAAACTAAACAGTCAAATCATCTAAACAACACTCATGAATCCGACTTCTGCTGTGCTTGATCCCCCAATTTTTTCTCTTCCATCGCCTCAAGTTGTTCTAGCGTTAACAAAGACACTCCTAGTTGGTCCTCTCTGGTGAATGGTTGAGCCATCTGCCTTAACCACCTCTTGGCAATCTAAAACCCTCTTTTCGTCAACCAAATTCTTTCTCAATTAATGGTCCTTCACCTGTATCGCTTCTTCGGTAGACAGGTTGCAAAGGCTATCCTTCAAATGCTCTTGAATCCATTTGGGCAACTTCGATCTTTTATCTGCCCGAGAGAATCGTTTGTCGGCGAAAATCATAATACCGTAATCGGTTTTCCCTCTAATTGCTCTTCCTACGCATTGGGCCGCATGTCTCATCGCGTCGAAAGTCAGAAAATCGTTCTCCCTAATCTAGAAACGGGTCATTGTGTATGTTATGGGTCTCTCTAGAAATGGGCGGATTTATTTTTTTAAAGTTATAAGTGCGCGAAATTTAGTACCAGATCTCAGCTGTAAGGCGCTTAAACTGTAAGTTTAACTTCCGCTTGTAGGTTCACTATTATTGCACATAATTTAAGTTATACAGGGCCTACCCGAATTGATTAGAACTGTGTACTGTGAGGTGTAAAATTAGTCAGGATGCAACGATGAAAATCGCATAAAATACATCTATTACTGCTTGTATCAAATTTACCTGAAACTGATCCCTGAGATAATCTAATCGGGCCTTCAATATTCTGGACTGAGTGTAGACATATGGAATACCAAACATTAAAACAGCCCTTCCCAGATGATGATCGAAGTCCACTCCTTCAGATACCTTGCCCCGTGCTACCGATAGCAAAACAGCACCTCGTCCGGATTCACAAGCCTACGACATAAATCGATTTACCTCAAAAGTTTGATTAGTTTAGTCTGCTTTGAAGCATTTCAAAGCAATCCGACCAAACCACGTACCTTAATATAATACATTAGCGCGAAGCTGGTTTCTGCAGAGTCCTGTGTTTCTATGAACAGCAACTTGTACCTTTGCAGACTGTCGATAACTCCCTGGTCATACCAAGCAGCTACCACCGACTCCAAATACAGATAGGATGTGAAGAAACACACTATACCATCAGGGACATTTGCCGCAACCTACATCGGGAAACGTTTCTGCTCATTAATCGTCGGCTGATGGAACCAAGAAAATACCCACCTCTACTAACAACTGTCCATAATTTCTTATAACTGCGTTATCTTCGCGGGTTTCGAATTTTGATGATATCGCAACTTGGTCGTTACCTTTTGCAACTATCTAAAGAACAGCTAATTGTGATTTTTTTTCCACGCATGATATATTCCTCACCATCGGCAATAAGCACGGCCTCGCCAGAGTCATCGTAAAGGACGACATTATCACAGGCTGAAAATTTAGTATTTTCGGATACATGTCCAAAGGTGACAACGTTCCAGACGTTATTACCACCGTTTGGAACCGGTCGAAGACAGGCTTAATTGCTATTGAGGAGTCTAAACAGCTGAAACAAATATGAAGAGATTCCACTAAGCGGCTCACTTTGATAAAATGTTAATAAATTAAGTGATTGGACGCAGACTTTTGGGTTCTGGGTTCCCACTGGCTGGACACGACAGAATCGCAAGAATATTTTAAAACTGACCTGAAATGTAAAATGGGATTTGATACAGTGGGAGTTTTGTCATCAAAGGGCTCAACAATTATTGTGAATCCTTTGGTATAGGTTGAAACTAAGGTGGCCAGATGCGTAATAAGGACAACAGGTCCGAATTCGGTCATATCTGTAATTTCTAAAGTGCGTAAAAGCGACGCTAGACGCTCCGCACAAAACCTTAACGGCTTCCTTTCAATGCACACTTTTTGCTGGACGTCTTTCAAGAAACCCACCGGAGATTCTTGTACCACATGCTGCACTCTTAATCTGCAAAGGAACAGGATTTTATGACTCAAGTCTATATACTTTTAAATGGTTTACCTTGTTTTCAAATATTCGACAAACCGCTTTAGGAAACAAATAAAGTGTTCGGCATTTCGAATATTTCCCGGCACGGCTTCCTGCAAAATTTCATCGGGCAAAACTGGATTTGAAAGTATTAAGTCGGTGTCTCTTGCCACGCTAGCATCTCGTAATCCTTCTACAAGCCGCTGATATTCCTCTTTCAGTTTTCTGTGATCTTCATCTCGCATTCTGAACACCAAAAATAAAATATGCTACAAACAGTTACAGATGCAGAACGCAAACTTCCGTACTCAGACACATGTTTCTCCAAAGTTCCTATATTGGCTGTTGCTCTTTCTATGGTTCGCTTGTGTATTTTTACACTCATAGAATCGATGCATACGTTATCAATGTTGTGCGCTTCGTCAAATATAATGACGGATTCTCTTGCAAGCTCTTTCGAGACCACATCTGCGATTTTTGGGTCCAGAAGATAATGGTAACTGTAGACTACTATATTGGCGTGCATAATCTATAAAGGATAAAGTTCCTAATTAAATACTTTCACGTTCACGCCTCTTTTATTATATATATATTATATGCATTGTTAATTTTTCCCCTGGAAATACTTACAGCAAATCTGGCCAAAAAGTACGGACACCAATTCCTGTCCCTTCCATACTGTTTGATGTCGTCTAAGTTATAAACACCGTAAGGCAGATTACTCTCTTTGCCATCAAGCGAAAAGCCCTCGTAATATTGGCAAACTGCGGTGGTATCATCAATATTGTGCCTTTCCCTGATGTAACTGGCAGTGAGACTGTGGCACTTTCCATCCACAATTTTACCTTCTCGTTCCGTGCTTACCTACAAACCCCCAAATTCCTGCACAATCCTCAAAACACAAACAGGAAAACGCGGCCCTACTTGTGGATGGATGCACATGTTCTTTCTGGAACTGAGCACTAACCCAACCAGACTGGGATACTGTCCATCTAACTTATCATAGTAATCTAAGAGCTTCTTCAATTCCTCCATGACTTTTTCGATTTCAGGAACAGTACGAGAACAGTAGATTAATTTGCGTACATCATGAGGATGCTCAATCATGTACGCTACAATGAGCGACAGTAAAGTGGTGGTTTTTCCCGTTCCCGAAGGCATTTCCAATAAACAGTGGCCCTGAAAAAATTGCAATTATCCTCTATTTGGAATTTCCAGGTAGATTAGGAGAATACCTTGGCATCAAGGGCTTTTTTAAGTTCGCACATGTAGGCATACTGTTCTGGATAAATATATTCATATGGAAAATACACAATAAGGCCGTCTACGCTTAACCTGCAACATTACGATTGATTCAAATTGTCACCTGAAAAGTGGGAAACAGACCTCATTTTAAATACTTAATATGTTTTGCTATTATACGGAAAATATGATAAAATTAATTATATTGGTACCAAGTTGTTTACATCGCAATGACCGGTAAATCGGGTTAGAATAATCGCGTTCTTCCTGTCCGTCGTTTCCGACATTTCTCGTTCGACCTAACCGCAATTAGTATGTTCGGAGAATTTTATGTCGTAGTAAACATCAAGTTTTCTTGAGTGAAAAAATAGTGTTTTTACGGTGTGTTTTGTGTGAACCTACAAAAATGGTGTGCAAAGACACTCTTCGCATCAAGCATTTACCGAAGGAACTAACAGATGTACAAAAAGAGCAATTTATCCGGCATTTTGGGGCCATTAAAGTAAAGGTTATAACTTCAAAAGCAAAAGCAACGTCTGTAATATATGCTAAGTTTGAAAGTGAAGAAATTGCCAAGAATCTGCTGTTCAGATTACATCAGATCAGCATATTAAACTGTAGACTTTCCGTAGAGTATGCCGACCATGATATTCTGCAGGGACAACTGTCGGCTCAGAAAGTAGACGTCCGCGAGGGTCCCGATAAAAGGTTTTTCAAAAATTTCATTAACCACGTGAATGCGTTCAATGATTCTGTTGGCTTTCATCAGCCACCACCTTCACATTTGAAATATAATTACCCCAAAGCAAATCGGCCCACTATCAACAATATTGCCCATGCTTTGGCTACGGTTCCTCGCTTCTACACTCAAGTGCTGCATTTGATGAATAAAATGAATCTTCCTCCACCGTTCGCCATGCCTGAACCGCCAATGCATTCAATTCCAATATCTCCATTTGCTACACAGACGCAACGCACCAACCAAATTGGTCAGAAACGAAAAAATCCTTCCTCCTCCGAATCAGAACTGGAAAGTGATGGAGAGGGAGGGAACCCTAGTGAAATTATACCCGAAAAGAGAATGCTGACTCAGAAAAAACCATTGAAACGAGCGAAATTCATCACGCAGGAAGTGGCCCGAGGCTCAGCCCCCTCCAAGCCAGTAGAGAAAGTGGAGGAGGTTTTTGAGAAGGTTATTTAACCCATTTATATTGATGAATATGCTAAAGAGGCTTTTTTTCCTAGTTTCCTAAATGTTTAAGAATTATTGTGTGTTTATCAACACACTCAGTTCCACAAATACTGGTGCACCGATGGGTGTCTCCATTATTTGCCATGGAAAATTAAGAATCATGATTTCTTAACCCTGAGAAAAAACCCAAAGGACGAAGCTATAAATTACAAAAAGTATATTAAAATCAGTTAACGGATAGAAAAATTAGAAACCGTTGAACTTTACCAAATAATGACAATATTTTGTTTGTTTATTTTTATATTTATGCGATTCTGCACTTGTGACTGCCTCCGACTTTCCCATGATAAGACTCTCATTTAACTCAACCAGTGCATTTTGATAGTTGTATCACAAATTTGTTTTTGTTCTTCAGGTGGAAGTGCAGCCCCAGAAGAAGATTGAGCTTAAAGTTACTCAGGAACTTGTTGTTGAAACGCCTACTTTAAAGTCTCCAGAATGTACTGTAGTTTCCAAAGAAACATCGATATCACCGGCAGCTAAACCTGCATCGCCTTGTATAGAAGCTACACCAAAAGATTTGAAAACCTCCCTTGAGAAGGTATCACGACCATGTACACCATTGGATGCAAATATTGAGATTGATCAACTTGAAGCAGAAATTGAATTAATTCAGCCATCAAGCGATTTTGAGCGGCAGCCATCGCTTCCAGAGGATCTGCAGCAAGAGTTAATCTCAGAAGCACAAAAAGAACCCAATATTTCCAGTGAAAGTGAACTCAAATTGCAACCACCAGAGATTTATTGTGAAGGAAATAGCAAAGATAATGCGCTTGAACCCCCCAGTCAACAGTCGGTTGTAGAAATTGTACAAAACCAATCACAGCCTTCGAATGAAGTTCCCATTGCAACCCATGAGGTAATTTATTTCAAAGTTGTTTTTTTTTCAAGATTTCAATTTAGTCAACTTTTAATTCCAGAAAGAACCAGAAAAAGTTCCAGTAGGACCTATGTCCCCTGACGATGAATTTCCATGCATTTCCCTGGATGAATTAAGAGCGAATCAACTAACAGATCTCACAGTAGTGTCGGCTTTTAAGAATTATAATCCTGGAGAGCCAACCAACAAGGTTTATATAAAGAACTGTGCTAAAAGCGTTGTGAGCCAAGACTTAGAATACATTTTCAATAGGTGAAGTAGACCGGTTTCATTTGATTTGCTGATATCTAATCTTATGACTTGTTCCTGCAGATATCGAGAAGAAGGGCATCACGGAAAGCCAAGCGAGTTTAATATTCGACTGATGCAGGAAGGCAGAATGAAGGGGCAAGCCTTTGTAACTCTTGATAGTGTTGAACAGGCTCAAAAGGCTGTAAATGAGACTAATGGCTTTATTTTGAAAGACCGGCCACTCGTAGTGGTTTTTGGTAAAGCCGGGAAGAAAAAATGAAGGAAGTGAAAAGGTGATTTTTCAAAGTTACTGAAATAGTAAATGATGTGACACCTGATAGTGTACAACTGGGATTTTGGTTTTTTTACTATCCAAAGCCGGGTTCAGCTCAAATGCGCTACTCCGCGCTCGTTTGGGTTAGTCCTAAAGAAATACGGAAGAGTCATATCTAATTATTTTTTACAGTCGGAAATGGTCTTCCTTTTTATCAATACTCGGTATATATATGAGGGACTCCAAAAAAGACTCAGCTCAGGAAATTATTTCCTTGTTTCGGTTTTGAGGCTGACGATCGTATTTCATGATGGTCTGTCCTGAACTTCCCATACTAAGATTTCCGTTGTACGCCTTTAAATCACAAATACCCAATTATTAAAAGTATGGAAAACAAAGTTCAAGGAAACATCTAATTTTTTAGTTCATTTATTCAGAGATACGTTTTATACGTACGTATTTTATAGACTAGACTCGGAAAACAAGTTGTTATATAAATAAATATAATTTCCAATTTTAGTGGACAAAAAAACCATCAAATGCCCATAAAATTGCACAAATTATAATATTTCCTTTTGGTTCTCGAATTGCTGAGACATCCATATAAGTCGTTGAGTTTCAGGCAATCTCCCTTGGACATCGCTTTTCTTTGGCCGATTTTCTTCGTGTGGCCCATTTTGGTAGTTATAGTTGGTTTGCTCTTGCTTTTGCTGAAAAAGTGCTTTCCATAGTGCATTATGGAGTCGTAGTCGTACTCGAAGCTGTAGGTGGTGTTGTCTAGACTCTGTTTATCAAAATTTGATTTATATCCTGAAAAAAACAATAGGTATATGTTTAGTATTGCTTAGGTTTGTAGCTTTAATTTTTGCATTGTTTATTGCGCTGAGCTTGGAGATGAGTAATATTATCAGGGACGGCACATTTTGCGATCATGTTTGGTAAATAAAGATCCAAAATAGCCCTCGTAAAGCGACCGAAAAGTGTTAGAAATTTGCGAATGTTGTCAATCTTTCATGTACCGTCTGAATCGGCTTTTTATATAAACGCGAAATGATTCTAGTACTTACGAGGAATGATGTTTTCTTCGTGTATTTTGACAAATTTGTCTCTGTCCCAACGAGATTGCTCGTGAAAAACACCCAAAGCGTGCATTAACTCATGTATGGCACGACCCTCAGACCCCAAGCAATTTGGGCCTGAGCCATCAGGAGGCTGAAGGCTCACTATTTGGGATCCACCAAACCTACCTAAAATAGCAAAAACAGCAAATATGTACTATTGAGAAATATCAAAATTTATGCAGGTTGGCGGAGCTTTAACTGAAATCGCTCTTATTCTCGGCAATCTTCCCGGCTTTCATTCAAAGTTGATTTATTTAACTTTGTGTTTAGTATGTTTGTTATATTTCGTTGCATGTTAAAAATGTTAAAAAATTATAAAAATATTGCAAGTTTATGATTGGGCGGCCGAAGAATTTTTTTGCTGAAGGTGTAGGTGACATTTTGGCAATATAAATCCTATTGCCATTTATTATGAAAAAAGCATATTTTCCCTAACTGATAATAATAATGATAATTTTATGCATTAAAGGATTTTATTGCAATATTAAAAAGGAATCATTCTGTTTGTCCTTATGAATAAATATCCCCCCAAGTTTATGGATCAACTACTTACCAACAAATGACCAACAGCCTTTCGGGTACTTGATGGGCCAAATCAAAAGGTAGTCTTTAGTTTTTCCATCCCAAGGGACGAATCGCACGCACGTCATAAAGTTGAAGGTCTTGATTGCTTTTAATATTGTAACTTGTTCGGTTGGTTCTGGAAATTCAGTCCAAGTCAGCCCATTTTAAGTGTTATTTTTCACGCTCACAAACACACTTCTTTTCATGATCAAAATTGTTACTTTGCCTTCAGCAAATGCTTTTCTCAATTGGTTCGATGTATTATTTACACGGGAGTAAGTGAGAAGAGCCATTGCAATTTGCTTGTGACTGCTGGACCTATTTTGTATATAATAATTTGTTTAAGATTCTTAAGAAAACTCAATGTGAAGCTTGTAGCGTGTAAAAACACATTAACACCGTTTTAGGATAATAATTTCATCAGTGGAAGATCATGCTAGTTAGAACCTCTCGATGTTGTGCAAGCTCAGCTACAATATTGTAGCAAAAACTTTCCCATTGTATAACAGTTTCCTTTTGCTGTTTTCAGGCTAATAGAAAATTTATCAGGTTCCATAAATCAAACATCTTCAAGGATAATCTTGACAATGTAATTGTTTAGATCGGAAACAGAAATTGTTGACGAATAACTTTTTTTTTGGCCTTACTGGCCTACTTTCCCAAAAGTTTACTACATACGAGATAACAACAAACCTATAAATTTATCAATTACCATATAAAGGGCTGATCATGTAAGGCACAATGCCGTTTTTCCATAGTTTTTCTGGAAAAGCATCCCATTTTATACCAACACGCCAGTAGTTATACAAGTCATTATTTAACGCCATATCTCCCTGGAACAGTCCGGGGGTCATTTCTGGGTCGATCTCTCCGCCATTAGCATCTTGAGTTAAGTTGAAACTCTCGACTAAAAAATTAATTGTTACGTGCATTTTTTGCAATTTGCTCAAGCTGTGTTCATAAAGTGGAGACAGGAAAAGGCGCTCTGGGACGCTCATGCTTTTTGCGCCCCGAGATGAGACCGTTCACTTGGATGAATACAATGCATTCACTAATAAAAATTGGAGAACAAACTACAAAACTAACAAAAAACAGAACAGAAAAAAAGAACTAACAAAAAACACGCGAATCTAAAATTGCTTGAAATCAGGACTTTTTGGAGAAAACTGCCAACAATTGCTCATCGATGGTTCACTTTCTAAAAAGGCCATTTAGTTCTCTTTAGAATGATGTAAAATTAGCGTTCTTGCTCGCTTTGCTTCTGAGAAATGCGCAAAAACAGTAAGAAAAACATGAAATTTTGGCAAAATCTTGCACCCTAGTGCGTAATATTTAAATATCACGTTCTGGTTCAAAACTACTCGAATTTCCTCATTCGTGTTGTTATGACTGAATCGACGTTTCAATTCTCTATCCAACGATGCCAAAACGAATTATGTGGCTCAAATGGTTCTCGTAAAACTTCGAAAAATGCAGCGTCTTAATTGAGCCGATTTTGCAACTCAACAAAAAACATACAAATCTAAAAACAGTAAGGAAAACATGAAATTTTGGCAAAATCTTGCACCTTAGTGCTTGATATTCAAATTTCACTGAATCGACATTTCAATTCTCTATCCAACGATGCCAAAACGAATTATTTGGCTCAAATGGTTCTCGAGAAACTTTGAAAAATGCAGCGTCTTAATCGCTTTGCTTCTGAGAAATGCGCGAAAACGGTACGGAAAACATGAAATTTTGGCAAAATCTTGCACCTTAGTGCGTAATATTCAAATTTCGCGTTCTGGGTCAAAACTACTCGAATTTCCTCACTCATATTGYTAKCACTGAATCGACGYTTCAATTCTCTATCCAACGATGCCAAAACGAATTCTGTGGCTCAAATRGTTMTCGAGAAMCTTCGAAAAATGCAGCGTCTTAATTGAGCCGATTTTGCAACTCAACAAAAARCATACAARTGTCTAAAACTGCTYGAAACCARGRCTTTTYGGAGAAAAMTGCCAACATTTGCTCGTCGATGGTTCACTTTCTAAAAAGGCCATTTAGTTCTCTCTGGAATTATGTAAAAATGAGCGTTCTTGCTCACTTTGCTTCTGAGAAATGCGCAAAAACGTTAAGGAAAACATGAAATTTTGGCAAAATCTTGCACCTTAGTACGTAATATTCAAATTTTGCGTTCTGGTTCAAAACTACTCAAATTTCCTAAAAAATAATAGCAGTTAATAAACATTAGGCTGATGCAATGCTGAAAGCTTTTTTAAACTCTATTGGCTGCAATGGAGTTGTGAGATTTTGGGCAAATCGGGCGTAATTATTTATACGTGCGGTTTTGCTTGGAACACGAATTTTTCCAATGATGTTTCACAAGGATTTGTAGGGGGTCCTGCTTGAACTTGAAGACTTTATGCAATGTACATAATGACCGTTGAACCTAACAAAATTATTCAATCAAACACATTGGCTTCCGTCAGTAAAAATATGCTTGTAGACTCTGCATTTTGCCATTTAGCCGATTTAGGGAATATAGTTGATTAAACTTACTATGGTCTGGTACTGGCGGGTGAAGCACATCAGGAACGTAAGGCATAACATGCCTGGCAGAAACATAGAATATTACTTCAAACAATATTGATAGAACAAAACAAACGGGTAACTTTCGCTGGTGTAACATCTTCCGGTCGACTGATGCCGTGAATATTAAGCCTTGACTTTGCTTTTCCTTCCTCATGGGTGATACGGATCTAGTTAAACTGCTACAACCATAACGGTTAAATCTATAACGTCAGTACCAGAGAAATTCGTTTTTCTAATACCAGTAAGCAGAATATATTCGGCACAATCACACTGCTTGAGAGTTTGTACGGGTTCCCATCTTAACGGGGCCTTTCCAGGCTTAGATATCCACAATCTTAATTTTAAGCATCAGTTTTTGTTTTCTCACGTTTTGCATCAGCTGTAAAGGTTTTTTTCCTTTAATGATTTTTGGATCACAATTTTAAACGATCTAGTACAAATTTCTACATTGGGGCAGGCAGGCAAGACCGAAGCTCGCGTGTAACACTTTTCCACTGGTTGAAGATCTTGATGGTCTATTAGTGGAATCATTTGTTTTTTGTCCCATTAATTATCGTGGCGTTTCTAGAGCATTTGATTTCAATTTCAAGAATTGCTACTAGCGGAATACCGCTGCCTAATCATCTATTGCAAACATGATTGATCAATTAGCCATCTCTAAGTGTTTGAAGTAAATTTGAATATTGATAGAGAAATTTTGTTGAAGGTGCTTTTCTAATTGCCAGAAGCAACAAACTTAGAATAAAACGGGGTTTTGAGAGTTTGTTAACGAACTAAAGGCTCGATGAAAGGCAATTTTGCTCTGCATGTCCCCAATGTGAATAGCTGCTTGGGCGTTAATACTTGATGTATATTTTGCATCCTTTATTTGTTTGTAACACTTGACCGGATTAACTGGTGCACCTTTATTTGTAGACTCTGGATTCGTCCTAAATTTATGTAAACAAGAATGTAAATGGGCTATTTTCAGAAAGCGGGAAATGTCGAAGCATACGAACCAATCACTTATGTAATTTAACTTCGGCTTCATTCAAGCCGTCTACAAATGATGTGATGGTGATGGCGATGATCACGTTTTACACATCTCAAAACAAATTTCTGCTGATCCTTTTCTGTTGGAAAAAAAATGGATTCGGTCAACATTGTCGAGGAAAACTGGCACATCTTCATAACAGTTGTAACGTGTCGCTATTGCTACTTATTGTCGGGTTTACACGACAAGTTGGAAGACAAAATATTGCTTTAACTTTATACTACGTGTTAATGCATGTACAGCAGGATTTTTTATGGTTTATGTTATGTAGGTTAGCATCACTTAGCAAGTACTAAACGGAATACTGGCACATTGCGGGAAGGTTGAGATATATGGTTTATTTTTAGGGTGATTCGAAATTGGGGTCACTTCACTAGGGGAACCGTAACTTGCTTTGTTGTTGATGTGTCTAGCGGGCGGGATTTTCAAAAAATTTTATAATTGCAATGAAAACGCATCCAGGTGGAAATATCGCATCAGATCGTAATCCGGTAGTCGCTGACTTTCGGGTAAAGCTAAAGAAACCCACCAAGACTACAGCAATACAGTGGTCGATTTTGCAACTCAACAAAAAACATGCGAATCTTAAACTGATTGAAATCAGGACTTTTTCGAGAAAACTACAAACATTTGCTTATCGATGTTTCACTTTCTAAAAAGGCCATTTAGTTCTCTCTGGAATGATGTAAAAATTAGGTTTCTTGCTCGTTTTGCTTCCGAGAAATGCGTAAAAACGGTACGGAAAACATGAAATTTTGGCAAAATCTTGCACCTAAGTGTCTGATATTCAAATTTCGCTTTCTGGGTCAAAACTACTCAAATTTCCTCATTCGTGTTGTTATGACTGAATCGAGTTTTTAATTCTGTATCCAACGATGCCAAAACGAATTATKTGGCTCAAATGGTTCTCGAGAAACTTCGAAAAATGCAGCGTCWTRATTGAGCCGATTTTGCAACTCAACAAAAAACAYRCAARKCTAAARCTGYTTGAAATCRGGACTTTTTCGAGAAAACTGACAACATTTGCTTATCGATGGCTCACTTTATAGAAAGGTCATTTAGTTCTCTCTGGAATGATGGAAAAATTATCATTCTTGATCGTTTTGCTTCCAAGAAGTTCGCAAAAGCGGTACGGAAAACATGAAATTTTGGCAAAATCTTGCACCTTAGTGCTTGATATTCAAATTTCGCGTTCTGGGTCAAAACTACTCGAATTTCCTCACTCATATTGTTATCACTGAATCGACATTTCAATTCTCTATCCAAAGATGCCAAAACGAATTCTGTGGCATAAATGGTTCTCGAGAAACTTTGAAAAATGCAGCGTCTTAATTGAGCCGATTTTGCAACTCAACAAAAAACATACAAATCTAAAACTCCTCCAAACCAGGACTTTTTCGAGAAWACTGCCAACATTTGCTTATSGATGGTTCACTTTYTAAAAAGGCCATTTAKTTCTCKYTGGAATGATGTAAAAATKATCRTTCTTGMTCGYTTWGCTTCTGAKAAATGCGCARAAACAGTAAGGRAAACATGAAATTTTGGCAAAATCTTGCACCTTAGTGCSTRATATTCAAATTTCGCKTTCTGGGTCAAAACTRCYCGAATTTYCYCACTCATRTTGTTATSACTGAATMGAWGTTTCAATTCTCTATCCAACKATGCCAAAACGAATTCTGTGGCTCAAATGGTTCTCGAGAAACTTCGAAAAATGCAGCGTCTTAATTGAGCCGATTTTGCAACTCAACAAAAAACATACAAATCTAAAGCTGTTTGAAATCGGGACTTTTTCGAGAAAACTGACAACATTTGCTTATCGATGGCTCACTTTATAGAAAGGCCTTTTAGTTCTCTCTGGAATGATGTAAAAACTAGCGTTCTTGCTCGCTTTGCTTCTGAGAAATGCGCAAAAACAGTAAGGAAAACATGAAATTTTGGCAAAATCTTGCACCTCTCTGGAATGATGCAAAAATCGCGCATTAATTCTCGACTCTTCGGCTGTTTCCAAACTTTCCACTTTCCAGTCAACGTATCCATTTCCATGCGACTAACCCAAACTAACCCACAATATAGAAGTAAACCGCCCACTTGCAATAAATGCAACAAGAAGACTAATTGAACCTATGAATTGGATCACCTACACTTAGGCGGTGCACTATTAAATATGTTCCACTAGCAATGCGGGCGTGTCTGTCTAAATATATCTTGAACGCAAACTTTTAACATTCGCTGAAAGATAGTTGATAGCCGCTATTTGATTAATTGTTTTTATACCGCGTCCACATCATATATTATGGAAA